TAATGCTACTCCTCAGAGCTAAAGTAACTGAGAAACTTCAGTTGCTTCAGAGCAAAGGAACTGTCCCATCCCCCCGCCCCCCGTCTCTTCCAACAGCACATTTCCAGTGATAGAGATGTTCATCTTTTCTTTACCTAGATTACACTCTAACTGATATAAGAATTATTGTGTTAGGAAACCATGTCCAGGGGAAATATTTTTGGGCATTATGTGAACACCCTGCATGTAAGTCTGGATAGCTCATCAGAGGAGGGGAAGTTGCAGCTTTCCATCAGCTATATCAGAATGCACCTCTGAGCCCATTGTCACTACGTAGCAAGGTGTACAAAGGTTATTTTCTAATTATGCCTTATGTTGCTTGTGAGTTTATTGTGACTTTTCTTATCGGTCACTGTCCATGTTGTATTTGTGGTTTTTTTGCCCAAAATGTTATTGAGCCGTCATTAGTTAGAGCTATCCACAGTAGCTCCAAAATCTCTTTCCAGAATAGATCTAAAAGACTGATTTGATTTTTGAGTGGGTATTTCACCATGCACCTTACGATTGAATCTCATCTGACAGATTATTGTTTGCTCAGTCAATATCATGGAATACTTCTATATTTCACTGTCATTTTTTTATTTTTAATACTTCCTTATCAACAGCCTTTTTCATTTCACTGTTGATCAAGTCTTCCAGATGACTAAGTATAATGGGCAGCAAACATTCTGGCATAGATGCTTGGGGGAATTCCCTGGGACAACTCTCCATTGTGACAAGCCTGACGATTTATTCCTACCTTTTATTACTTGCTAATTAATCCACTATTAATCTGTGAGTCAACGGCTTCTTTTATTCCATGGCACATAGTTCCTTGAAGAGTGTGTATTATGCAAAGGACCTCATGAAGTTTTCAAATAAAAATAGTACATTATATTAAATGTATCCCCTGCTTTAAAGTGTTTTTCATTGGTGCAGTATACGTCTACCCTGAATTTATAATGTAGTATCTTTAAACAATCTTTTTTCTGTCTGAAAACATTTTATTCTTTTGGCTGCTAGTTTTAATTAATCTTTAAAACTTCATCATTTTAACATAATTCCCCCTTTAAAAATAAAAGCACTACCACAGAAATTTTTTTGCAGCCTTTTAAATTCCTTTAAGGATATTGAACTTGCATACATTGTGCTCACTCTTGGTCACCAATACAGAATAGGTGCTCAGTAGAGACATTTTGAATCAGAGCCTGCACACTGCTCAGGGCCAAATCAAATGGGGCTTTGTCCCTTTAGGATTCTTTGAATATTTGTTCCAAGAAACAGTAAACCTGTTAAATACCGCCTTGGGTCACAACCTGGTGGGGCAATTGAAATTCCTGCTTTTATGGAGTTTTCTGCCTTTGCAGTCTCTCAAGTATTACAAAAGGAGTTTAGTCATTCCAGGTACTGTCACCATTTTGTATGGTTTTAGTCTAGTATTTTTCCTGTGTAGGCATAAAATTACTTGTGATACAGCTAACTCCCAACTTTCCATAACATGTATCACTACTTCTTCATCCATGGTACTCCTTTGTCATTGCAACATTAAGTTGTACCCAGGGATGAAAATAAGAAAGAAAAAATCCTTAAAAGTATGACAGATTAAAGCTGCTGTAATTTTTAGTGTAGCATAGATAAATAAGAACTGGTCCTCAATTTAGCACTAGAGAACTAGTTACATTTGGTGTCTGTTTTCTTCTGAGGCAAACCTTCAAGTCTTTTGAGACTTAATGTTCTAAAGTCATAGCATTCAAGCTGCATGATTCCCAAGCAGTGTATTGTAAATAGCCTGAAGTGAATTATTTGTTGTTTGTTTTGTTGGGTTTTTTTAAATAAAAACCAATATGAGAGTGACAATAACATGCCTCTGTGGCTAGATATACTGGAAGTAAGCAACCTGTAATCCTCCCCTCTCCCTTTCTCAAACAGAAAAGATACAGGGTCCAGTGTACCCTCTCCATGTGGTTATGGAATTTGGAAAGCTGGTTATGGCTGTGAACAAAATATCAGTAACATAATTCACTATCCATGATAAATCCAAAGTAAAAAAGCTGAACAAGGTTTTGCTATGTATGGATGATTTGTGTGCAAGTTCTTTGTAGATAATGCCTGAAGTTTGATGTGGATGAATAATGCAGATGAGAATTTCATGCATGCTTATTTTGTGTTTCTCTTGCTGCCTTATAAACACACTGCTGTTTCTCTTAGGTTAGAATGAAAACCTAAGTAGCTCCTGCTTTGACCGGGGATATTTAAATTGCCCTGTCCAGAATATGTATTTTCATGAGGCAAACAACTGAAAAAAACAAAGTTGGGATTTTTCATAAATTCTCAATGTTGGATAATCCCGGCTCAGTACCAGAGTCAATGATTACAACCTCAATTATTTTCAGTAACAGTGCACTAACTATTGCCATGTTGAAAAACAAACCACGCAAGCATTTTCCTCGTGGGCAAATTGTGAAATACACTTGTTCATAAGTGACAAATGCAGACTTCGTGTTTCTAGGGTCACCATTTGTTATGTAAAGGAAACTGTTCTTATTTACATGACAGCTGAACTTCATCCAAGTATCTAATTAAATACTGCTGCTTTTAGTTAAGCGGCCAGGTTCTTGAGAAGTGATATTATTCATTTATGAGACTAGCTATGTGAAAGCTTTCTACAAAAGAGTGTTTTAAATGAATGCAAGTGTCAGAAAGTCATTTATTAAAAATTACTTCAAAGATAAAGAGAATCCTGCTGTTAATCTGAGTCATTATATTTAAATAGGATTTGTGTTTGTTCTCTTCACTGCATAACTTAAAACCAGTTAGATTGAGTATGTGGAGATCTGAATTTCAAATTGCCAAACTGTATAACTTTCAGTATGGATTTAAGAGAAAACAGAGAAAGGAGAGAGCAGCTTTTCCATCCCTCTGCTCTGCCCAGACCAGCATCACTCAAACCATTCCTGTTAGCTACTTGTCTGAAACCCTTCAAGGCTGAAGATTGCACAGCCTCCGCAGGGCTGTCTGTTCCACTGATTATGTATCCTTACCGTTGGGATGGGTTTCCCTGTCTGATGTGCCTGTGACATTTCAGCTGTTCAGAGCCATGCAAACAGCCACACTGAATTAGGTTCATGATCCCAGTTATCTTCTGCCGTATTGCAACAGTGGCTGACTCCAGGTGCTTCAGAAGATTATGAGGTAGAAGATAGGGAGATAGGAGATGATTCACTTGTTCTGGATTATCTGATACATAATAAGGGCACCGTAAACCCTAACCTATGAAATGTAATCTCTCTTCCAAAATCTGTTAGCATTGTACATTGAATATCCTTGCTAGGTTTGTATGCTTTTGGCTATGCAGATTTTTTTGCCCTCTTAACATTCTGTGGCAGAGTTGTGGTTTGTCTATGCATCATATGAAAAGTTATTTCCTTTTACTGAAAAGTTATTTCCTTTTATCAGGTTTAAATTTGTTGGTTTTCAGTTTCATTCACTGTCCTCTGTATTGTGTGTTAGGCCATATGGAGAACAAAAGCTCTCACCATGTCTTCTCTGGAGTATTCGTTTTTGTTTTTTTTTGTTATATCCCTTCTTGCTGATATTCTTTTAGAGATGAACAATCCATCTCTTTTCAGTTCTTCTCAAATGACATTTTCCTCATCGTTCCCATAAGCCCTAGTAATTTTGCAATACTTTTTTTTTGAGATGGTGCCACTGTTATTGCACACAGTATTTGAAGGAAACCCACAATGCTGCTTATTTATAGAATGGAATTCTAATAATTTCCCTGCTGTTTTTCATCCCAATTCATATTCATGTTAGCAATTTGTTTACTTTTTTTGTCTGCATCCACACTTGGAATTGAAATGATAATTGAGTTGTTTTGCTTTAAACTGAATGTGCTTGAGGTGAATTGGAGGTTTCATTTCTATTATTGAACCCAAAGCTGAGAGTTTTATTAAGTTTTTATGCTGATGGTGAAAGATACGTACATGGCTATATTGCTTATTTTGTCCTGTACTGATCTGTTGGACTGTTAAATATCACAACAGTACTTTTTAATGAACTGTAACTAAGAGCTTTGGCCAGACTGTTGTGAAATTGTATTTAGAGTTGAACTCAGTGCACCGATATTTACAATCACCATAGATCTAGTCTTTTCTAGTGTTTTCCATGTTTTATCATATATAGCTGTTTACTTAATGCCCTTTCAAAGCCTTTTTCCCAGATAAGTTTCCCCCATATGGACAGCTGAAAAGCTAAATAAAGACTGTTCAAGTAGAAGGCAGTGTGTGCTGCTAGTTTGGCCTTGCAGAGTAATTGTGTGTACCTTTAAAGGTACTCTTGAATTCTTTGAGATATGATGGTTTTGAAGTCATTTACCTTTATTCACTGGAGAAATTTTTTTTTTTCTCTATTTACTATGCTAGACACAAGGGCTATAGGTGTCACTGCAACTTGAATAATTAAAATATTCTCGTTTGTACACTGTAATAAATGATGAAACTTAAAGCATGATGTGCTTGCTTAAATGAGCTTACAGGTGAGACATCACCTTTCACATTAAGTTCTCAGCAAGTGAGCTCAAATGTGCTAGACAGTGCCGGTAAAAGGTTTTCAAAACAAGATTCTGAATCTTTCCTTGTTTAACTGCACATCTCATGAATGGTTGCCACAAACTAAAGCTCTTTAGGGAGCTGAGAATTATTTTTGTTCTTGTTTCCTGCAATTTCTTCATTCTACCTGCCTCACTCAATAGTATTCACTTAGAAGTTTATATAGGAAAACTCAATATCACATTTTAAAAGTTAATGTGAGTTGAAAAATATTTTTTGTGAGCTTTTAAGTTATTTCTCCTCATTCTGGGGAAGTGCATATTAATTTTCATCTGAAGTCTTTAATGGCCAAGAGTTATTTACATTGACTGCCGCAAGAATATTTTGTTAATTGAATGTAGTCTAAGAGCATTACATGCCATGTTTTTGCAGACATTGATGAATGTGGAACTGGAAGGCATACCTGTGCCAATGACACTGTTTGCTTTAACTTGGATGGTGGGTACGACTGTCGGTGTCCCCATGGCAAGAACTGCACAGGAGACTGTATCCATGAAGACAAAATCAAGCACAATGGTCAGATTTGGGTGCTGGAGAATGACAGATGCTCTGTCTGTTCATGCCAGGTCAGTAGAAATAGAAGTAGCTGCTTCTGCAAGATGGTGGTAGGGATGAAGGGAAGAGCATCATGATTGAAGTGACATTCCTGTTTTAGCTGCCTTCACAGGTGTGCATGTGGTGCTACAGAAAAATGGAATTATGTATTATGTAGGGTTTGGGGGAGAGCTTCTTTGTCCAACCTGCACAAGTAGAACTTCCATGGGAGGTTTATTATATGATACTGGAAGAAGGATGATAGTACTATTTTGTTAGCAGAGATGCCACCTGTGTTTTCTGGGTGGGAGTAACAGCATTTTTTGTGCAAATAAACTGTCTATCTAGACACATATTGTCGTTGGTGACCGACGCCAGTATCTCTAGCAGATGGCTATAAATAGAACTAGGTTCTGTATCTGCAGAGTAGTTCAGCTTAACTTTCTCAAATGTTTGCTGTGGGAAGCTTGATCCCAGGCTAAATGCTGATGAAGAATGAAGGCTCCATACACTGCTGACAAAGTCCTGAGCATTTCAGCAGCTCAACTTTCATGGGCATGAATTTAACTTCAGACAACCTATCATCTTCCTTATGTGAGTAGTTACAGAAGAGAGGGACAAATCTGGAAGTTTTAAACAAGACTCCACTAGCATCTGTATGAGAATGACAATGTTGCAATCCATTAAAATTTGACCCTTGGGAAAGACACCCTTGGGTTTCATTACCTTAGGGAAGAGCTGTCTGAAGGTTGGGTGCATTGAAGGAAGTATATATGACAACAGGGGAACTTTATGGTAGTTACTGAGTGTGCTACTGACTATGTTTTGTGGTTTCTGCCTCTGTTTGAATGCTGTTTTGACAAAGATATCATATAGTGGAAAAACTTGTGAGCTGCTAGTGACTTAGAATCATGCTAAAAAATCAAATTTTGGTACAAGTACTGCTGAAGTTGTGCAGGTTTCTGCTATTGCTCTGTCTGTGTTTCAACAACAGAGTGGATATGTGATGTGCCGGCGAATGGTCTGTGACTGTGAAAATCCCACCGTTGACCTATTTTGCTGTCCTGAATGTGACCCGAGGCTCAGCAGTCAATGTTTACATCAGAGCGGGGAGCTCTCCTACAACAGCGGTGACTCCTGGATACAGAACTGTCAGCAGTGTCGCTGTTTGGTAAGGCTCTTGATTACAGCAGCAGAGACAGAAGGGAAAAAGGATATGAGACACTCTGATCTGTGAATAGTTGATTTTCATGCATTAGCATCCATTTAATTTCCTCTGGAGTATGCATATAATCGAAATATTGTTTTCATGGATATTTGTCAGTATTGTGTAGTTCCAGTCAAAAATGCGTTTTGAGACAATAGACATAATATAAATTACTTAATCATGAAGATTGTTTTAGCAAAGACTGGAGGTCATTTGGATATGGCACCTACACAGCAACACTCATGTGTACACTCATTGGTCAAAGACCAATGTAGCTGTATAAGGAATTTCTAAATAAGTATTTATTATCACGGTTCATAAATTCAAAGATGCCAATAGACTAAAATTTGTTTAGTCATTCAGACATTCTGAGTAACAGAAAAATAATAAGATTTTATGCATTTTTCAAAATACAGACATGAATTTTAAAAAAAAAGTCTTTTAAATCTTTGGGTATTTTTCCTAGGCATGTATTTCAGAGTCTGAGCAAAAACTGTTCTGCATAATGCCACTCAAGAAGTTTCTGTGACAGAAAAAAATCCCAAGATAAAAACAACTAGCTTTTATCACAGGTTGTCTCCAAATGTAAAGCTTAGTCCATCTATCAGCTTCCCATTGTCAGGGTATCATAAATAACAGCCAGAAAACAATTTCTGTGGACACTGTGCTTTCAGTGTTACCACCGCTAAGATCCAATAAAATAGATTCCCAGGTGCTTCATTAAATGTCTTAAAACCAAAACAACCTACAGTTTGGAATCTCAATAGACATTTATTTTGTTTTCAAGATACTACTTATGTAACTAAAGCCTGCTTTATTTCAGTTGTTGGGGATTTTTTTTTGGATGACAGCATATTGTCTACTTATACTGTCCATCACTCCCAAAAATAAATTGAAATATCAAGATCAGTGACTGGGTTTAAGATTGCTTTCATTCTTACCATCATGTGAGTCAAAAAGAGGAAAACTGACCCAGGTGAAAATTTTGTAAAAGAGTAACTTCACAATACTTTCTGTAACAAGAGGAGTACATTTGGACCTATGGCAAATCTCTGGGAATTTTTTTCAGCTTTTGATCTGGAGATATTGAACTCATCATTCTCAAAGCCTTAGATACGGTTTTTGTGAATAAACTACTTTTCTAGGGCCAGATGCTATTCTCTTTGCCCCCCTTAAATCCATGCTACTCAATCTGTGTTTCAAATGAGGTGAGCAATTTGGAGGTCAGAGATGGACCTGCTCCAAAAGAAATACGCATTAATGACTTCTGTGAAGTCTTTGAGCAATAGATCTGAAACTTTGGTCCTTGTCCAGAGTTGAAGGGAGGCTGACCTCAACTTCTGGTAACTAATGTGAATAATTAGACAGCTTTAGATTTGTATACAGGCATACAGTAACTTCCCCTAAAAATATCCTGGCCCAACGCAAGTCTCTTTTGACCTTTTCACAGCTTGACTGTACTGAACCCATCATGCAGAAAGCATGATTAAGTTTGGAAATTCAGATATTCTGATTGCAACATCCAAAATGGATGGGAAGTGGGTGGAGGTCCTCTAATGGAAAATGTGCTGGTGTTCCTTGCTGCATTGAGCTGCTGGTAGCTTGACACCCCTTAGTTCAGACAATGCATTTGAACTGTGTCAAAGGTAAACTCTGGTCCATCCAGAGCTGAATTTGAGGGCTTTATATGGTGAATCAACAGTCCAAATAGAAGTAAGAACTAGGTGAAACAGGAGATTTCGAAGCACTTTTTCAGTACAGCCCTGCTATGGCTTCTGTGACTTGCAGAAGTAGTACTTCATGAGGACAGATCTGTATTCTGTATTGCATGAAGTTTATGGAGAATTTTCAGCTGCAACTTGATGCAAAGCATGTTGTAGTAAGATAAAACTAATACACTTCTTTAATAGCATGCAGGAAAAAAGTACCCAACTTGCTGTGTCTCCCACAAGCAATGAATATCAGTGTTCTCTGCACTGACTTCTGAACAGTACCAGATGGATAAAATTAGCCAGTGAAGAAACATAATGCTGAGTCAGAGGAATGGATAATGAAACAAAGTGAGAGCTAATAATGTTCTCTTGTTCTCCTAATATTTGTAAACAGCAAGGTGAAGTTGACTGCTGGCCCCTGCCATGCCCCGAGGTGGATTGTGAATTCAGTGTCCTCCCTGAGAATGAGTGCTGCCCACACTGTGTCACTGACCCCTGCCAAGCAGACACCATTCGCAATGACATCACTAAAACCTGCCTGGATGAAACCAACATCGTTCGCTTCACTGGATCTTCTTGGATTAAGCACGGCACAGAGTGCACCCTCTGCCAGTGCAAGGTAAAGAGCATAAAAAAGAACTGAGATGCCTCTTTCCTAGCTTGTTCTCTGGCATATAAATATTAATGCAGAGTCCGGTCAGTGGATAGCTGGTGTCTAAAGTTGTTTTAAGGCAGTGGAGATTACAGTAAAAGTGTTCAATGTTGTTAACTTCACTCTTGCATGTGCTAGAAGGCTGGTTTAATGTGCTAGCGGGTCAGAAGCAGGACAACAGCCCATGATGCAGTGTACTGTGAGCAAGTTAGTGGCCTTTCCACCAGGATAGCTCAATTCACATTTGATCTCAGTTCTTACTGTATAGCTCCATGCTATCTTGGAAATAGCTGCAGTAACAAATCGATATGTAAGACTAGACTTCACACAAGAAATTTGTTCTGTGTGATACTATGGTGTTATCAGAACTGATTGAATTGCTTTATGAGAATAGTAATTGTTTTGAGAATAAAAGAACTAGTTAGTCGTTACATAGCTTTCTTGCTTTAAATTTAATAGTAAAATCACCGTAATGTTTAGAACATTTAATAGGTTTTGTAGTCAAAGGAATTAATTGTCTGAGGAAAACAATTAATGGCTATGGGCTTACATGAATTCTGGCATCTCTTTTTAAAGATGCAAAAGAAAAAGATGTTACAGTAAATTTTTCCATTCAAAATAAGCCTGTAAGGTGAATTATATTTTCCGTCATCCAATACTGAAGAATGACAGTGTGTTTCCACAGTAGACAAGGAAAGAGAACCGTCAGGATTCATCCATAGATCTCTAATTATTACTGAAATTCACATTTGATTTTGGTCTTTATGTTCTTCCTAAGCAAGATACTTCCCAAAGTAGTACATTGCACAATTAAGTACTTTGAAAAAATGCTCATAAAAAATAATCTAACTTCAACACCTCCTCCTGGGAGAGATGAAGAGTAACAGATCATGTGGCAGAAGCTGTCAAGCACTACCTTCTTCTGCTTTGCCTGACGCAATGCTGTGTGCAACAGCAGTTGCTGCTGTTGAAGCATAGTCCTTGTACGAGGGAAGTGGTATGTGCAACGTAAGTGTAGACATTTATCTTGATGTCAGAACAAGTTGATGGTTAGAAGAACATTATGTGATCTGACAGAGTGAGTAAGGGTTAGAAAGCCAGCTGCTGCACAGAGAATGTTGAAACAGGCTTACATGCAGAAACCTGTACTTCTGGGGTCCATAGCTGGTGGCATACACCAACTCCAATGCTAGAAGTTACTTCTTGCTTGGGCAAGTTCCTGAGGTTTATGTGCCTCAGTTTCCCCATCTGTAAAACAGTTATGTGTGGTTCTTCTCCAAAGCACTTTCGAGGTTCAGTGATGAGAAGTATGTCCTTATTGTTGTACTGCTAATCGATGGCAATGCAGAAGCAATGTATCAGTTTGTCTGATAGCTACCTGTGTGTCACTCCCTTCTGCCGTTTTCTCTTAAACAAAGACTGAACCTTAAGAACTGACTAATTTGTATTCTGTGTAAACACATAAATCCATTGCTGCATTGTGAACATATAAGATTTATAAGATTAAAACAGATACTCTGCCGTATCCCATAGATTTCATATGGCTCAGGTGAGAATCCGCTTAACAGTGAAGATGTACCACTTTGTCCCTCAGCAAGCCAAATTTTACTGATTTCTCTTCACAGACTGAATTTCTTTTTGAAATACACTATCTGCTCATATTGGCAGCATTTTAATATTGTAGTTCTGCAGGCAAACCGCCCACTCCCTCCAGATCAGGTTAATGCTGTGCCAAATTTGTATAGTTCTGTGTCTCATTTGACCTGTGTCACCCCACTTTTTTCTTGCAGACCTTCACATGGAAGGTCAAAGCTCCAGTCTAAGCCTCTCTAAGCCAGCTGTAGCAAAATAGGTTTACAAAAATCCTTTAAGAATTCAGAAACCTGGGCATCAGCTAAAGCTGACTTAGCCACAAAACCATTGCAAATCACAGGTAAAGAACATGGACAGCAGGCTTGTCTAACCTTCCGTAAAGGGAGTGAAAGAAAATGTTTGAATGATTTGGACCTTAGTCTTTAATCAGTCCTGGCAGATTAGTCAACAGAATGTATTTGTAGTAATTTAAAAATAATACACACTTTAAGTCACACATTTAAGAATCAAGACTTAAGAAAAGAAGTAGTAGAGGTGCAGAAAATAATTCCTGCAGTACTTCAATGATATCTACAGGCAATCTGTTCCCTGAATTGCTAATATTGTCAGAATAATGTCTGGACTATCAGGAGAAACTTTATGGATTAGTGTTTGCTGGTGTTACAGCCAGGATGTATTAATTTGAAGTATTCAGGGCTGAGTAAAACCCAGCATCCCTTCTGCCTGATCTAAAGAAAACTCCTAAGTGCCCTGTCTTGTTCAACAGCTTTGTGTACTTGGGCAGATGCCCCATAGTTTTATGTTGGGAGCATTTCTTCCACTGATCCCAGCTTCTTTCAGTTTGACTCTTGTAGCTCTGGGATACAAACCACAGCAAGCCAAACAGATGATCATAATAGCCTGTTCCCTTGGGCAAGGGAAGGGCATGATGACAATGTCATGAATCCAATCAAAATTGGTAGATCTCTTCTATTTTACAAGTCTGTATGTTCAAGTCTGATGGGTGTTTGCAAGTGGCTGAGTTTGTTGAATTGATTGAGTCTGTTCAAAACACTAATTGTTTCATTTCTTCTTTCTGGTTTTCCTCCCTTTAGAATGGCCACGTCTGTTGCTCAGTGGACCCACAGTGCCTTCAGGAACTGTGACACCAACGACCACCTCTCACAAGCAGTTTCTGGTTAAAGAATTTTCATTCACAAAAAAAGAACTTTAGACCAAAAATTGTACAAAATTAAAACTAAAATTAAATTGGTTTTGTCCATCTAAAGTGAAGATATTTGATGAGCTCAGTTACCTAAATCAGAGTGAAATTTATGGGACTCAAGACAAGCTCAGATGTGTGAACCTTTGTATGAGGTCAGGCCCAAGTCTTCTGGCTATTTGTCTGCATCATCATGCAGAATATTAAGTTAGTGTAAAGTGACACATTGTAATGCTGTACATAACAATGTCAAGATCCAAAATCAACTAGGAGGTCTTACAGGGTCTTTTGAAGTTTTGAGAGTCCAGCACTTGACCAGATGCAGAGATTTTTACTTAATCATATTCGGATCTGCACAAAAGTGTTTGATTGCTCACTGCAGAATTTAACAGATGTTTAAGTAAAAGGATGAAGCCTTCAGAAATAAAGAACCTAGCAGCTAAGATGTGATATATACAGTATGTGCGCTGAAAAAAAGATAGAAGTTATCGTAAAAACAAAACAAAAAAAAACCCTAAAAAAAAAAAACAAAAAAGAAAAACTGTGGTGCACAGGCATGGCTTCTTAATGTTTTCTGATGGGAAAAGTCATCAATATTTCCTTGTTTTACTGCACTTACTATTATTTCTTGATTGAATTTGTTCAGTATAAGCTCGTTATTGTGCAAATTTAAATAAATATTTCTCTTAACTTAGGTTTGCATTTGTGCTGTCTTTCCTTTTCAAGGATGTCATTTTCATGCATGTTGTTACTGTCCCTTCTTTGACAACATGCCCAGGCAGCTGGGCAACACGGGTGGAGTATCGCCAGTCTAGCTCCCCTACATATGGGAGCTTCTCCCCAGCACAACCTTATATCTGTCATTTCTTATCTTTGTTATTCTTCTGGGAATACATAAGTAACTTCGTACATCTGAGCCTCTACAGTGGATTGAATAGAAAATTCCTCTGCCTAAAGATCAGGCCCTGTGTGCCAGAGGGATGCTGTCACACAGAGTGGGTACAGACCATTTGTGTGTGACTTGCATCTGTTCAGATTTACAGGGGATCTTCTCCGTATGCCTGCTCTCTCCAGCTGCCGCAGATTGTTTTGTCTTTCTGTAAGCTCCACAGCTGGGTTAGTTGTTTGTGTAAAGTATCTTAATGGATGGGGATCACTTCAATAGGCAAGACCTATTTTCACAACAGTACTGCTGGGACCATAAATAAAAGAGGCTACGTGACCAAAGCTATGTTATTCTGTAAAAGAAATAAAGAATGTAGCAGTGCTTACAAATTACAGGCTGAAAAGGCTCAATTTGTAAGGAATGCATCAGGAGCAGTGAAGGTATAACAGGAAAGGAGGAAACTGCCCAAGATAACAGCATCCTTTAAATACATCTCCGTAGTCATGTTCTTTTCAAAGTGCCTTGCTTCTCTTCGGCATCTCTCTTATGAATTCAGTAGATTGTCATGCAACCTGGACAGGCAAAACTTTCATTAGTATTACCCCTGTCTATTACTTAGTTACAAGGGAAGTCCATGTATATGTTTTTCACAGAACAGAATTATTTTTTCCCACAAACAGATGCTAGTTCACAGTGTTTCGTGTACAGCAGGAGATCAAAGGAATGCCATGCAGCTGCATGTATCTGGTGGGTATTCCCTTGAGCCCTGGTGTCTGCTGAGTACATGATGTTTACAGAGCAGGGACTACAAGAGATGCCAGGCCACTGAATGCTAATAATATAAAAAAAATCAAGAAACTAAAAATCAGAAAAAATGCAAAACCCCCAAACTGATAGACTACATTGGACCATTAAAGCTATGAAGATTTTCAGACCAAATAAACCTTTTTCCTCACCTAGTCCATAAATAACAGGTACTCAAAGATTTTACTATATTGTCCAGCTCCTGACAAACTGCAAAGTTTTTAAAGAAGAGTGTTAGCTCCTTGAAAACGAAGCTACTTTCTGTACAGTGTTTTCTTGCCTACTAGTAATTGTCAAGAGGTCGTTTTTTTCCCTCGGATGCCGGGGCACATCTCCAGTGGATTTCAGTGGCAGTTGCAGGCCTATTTCTGAGAGGTTTAGCAGAAGCTGTTACAATTTAGCGCTTCAATTTCATTCAAGAATAGGTATAAGATAGATGTAGGAAATGCATGAAGACTAGACTTTTTTTTTGAAAGATACAAAAAAGCGTGATCATTTTTCAAGGGCAAAATCCTTGGGTTCTGGCAGAGGCTGTTGAAAGCTCTGAAGGAAAGCAGTGGAGCTGGTAGAGAGAAGGGCAGAAATCCACAGAGCAGTTGTAAGCATCCCCATTTTGGGTCCATGGATAGATAAATTATGGGTGAGACGGGTGTCCTCGCTCTTTATCTGGTTCAGTGCATCCACCAACATGAGATTTAGACCAATAACAGATATGAGAACTGGAGGAAAAACTATCTCCAAATTTTTTGTCAATCCTTTCTCAAAGGCAAAGTAATACTGGTGTCTAATTCCAGCTTTTAATCAAAACTAAAAGTGTATAGATGGAAAACAAGCATCTCTTTCCTTTTGTTGCCTACCCCAACATGAGTGTTGTAGGATCTTTCTGCTGTTGCAGGTTTGTGAAGCACAGTCCAACACACTAAGAAACTAAAAAAGCCAAGAATTGAGACATAACATAATAGTTAAAGCTGGAATCAAATCCTTGGAGAGACAGCCAGTGTTACATGTATGAAAGAGCAGAAGTCACACTGCTGAACAAAGCAGAATTCTCTGCTAAATAAAAAATGAGAACGGGTTGAGTGAATATTATCTAATTTATCAATGTTCAAGGTTACTAATCAGTTGGGAGTTCTTCTAAAGGTCAGCAAACTCCAATGAGACATCTCAGTGACTCTCGTTTTCATTCCTTCACCTCTTCTTCCCCATCTACCTCCTGTTCAGTCAAGCTAGTAAGTAGTAGCTCATGTTTTTAATTTTCCTTGAAAAGTAAATTTAAATATTATTAAAAATTGATGTCTAATTTCCAGGCCTAAATTATCTGTCAGATGAGATAGTCCGTACAAAAAATTATATTTCTGAATGATGCAGGTACGTTTTACTCTCTCATGGGCCTTTCATTATTGATGCACTGTTTGCAGTACCAGAAATTCAATAACTCACATAAAGGAATTGTCACCTCTCTGCAGAGTAATTGCCCTAACTTAATAGACCTACAGGTACAAAGGCAGAGATGTCTTCAGTTACAATGCTGACTTCAATGCTGTGGTGAAACAAGTTGACAAAAAGCAGCAGTTTTGTAAACTGCTGAAAAGGGAGCTAACTGTGCAGCTGCAAATTTCTGCTACTCACAAATTTATCATGGGCCAGAACAGGGGGCTGGCTGCCTCAGCCTTCCTTATGGCTGAGGACAGCTTCGCTTTCTGTGAGAGCTCCACCTTCAGCAGCACAGCTGATGAAATATGGGCATGAAGTCATAGCTGAAACACTAGCCATTGCTTTTTTCTAGGATGCCTAAAAGTGGATATTTGTGCAGGAAGTGCTGTAAAACTGCCCTCTTTCAGTGCCAGCATAGGGTCCTGCCACGAACTGCGTTGGGCTACAGGAGATTCGCCCTGGGGCACTTTGGAGAAACAGAGCCTCATGAGCCACAGCGGCCAGATCGGCCAGATAGCACATCCTGCTGACTTCAAATGCCGGATGTGTATGGGGTGGCACCTTCTCTCCCATGGACACGGTGAGTCCCACCCTGAATGGGTCACCTGTGTCCCTGCTGTGGGGGATTGCTCATCTGTGGGACAGGTTGCATGGGCCAGACAGCACTTGTGGGTCTCCTCCAAAGCAGAGGAGGCTCCTGCTGCAGCACAGTGATGGTGCACAGCTCACGTGGCCTCTCAGCAGGCAGGGGCTCTGTTGATTTCTCAGATAAAAATAGCATCAGCTTTAAAGTAGGGCTCAGCTGGTTATTTTTTAATGGTGAAACTCACTTACAGACAAATGCAGTTTAACTTGTCCCCAAACCAGTTAATAATTTAAGTTAAAATTCACCAGATAGCTTTTGCCAACTATATAAAGAGAATCTGAGTAAGAAGACTAGAGCAGCTCTGGCACCTCCTGATCGGGTGAACTGTAGAGAAGCATCTCCTCTTCAGTGCACGGGTAAAGCCCACTGCAGCCACATCTGCTCAAGTCACTGCCGTGTTGGCTATGTCACAACCCTGGCCATCCCCTCTGTTGCTATTTCAAAGTCTAATTAAAAATTTAAAACTTCTTGTTGCTTTATCATGGTGGCCAAATCTCTGTCCTGGGAGAAAAGACAAAGCGTGCCACTGGATTTTTCAGTAAGAAGCAGTGTTTTAGAGGGGGCCTGAAAAGAAAGACCCCAGTTCTCAGACCTCTGTGCCCCAGCTGTTTGTCAGCCACGTGAATGGCCACTAGCATGTCAGTGTATTTCACTTTTATTGTTTTTGTCAGCACAGTGCTAATGCAAAATTATAATAATAAAAAATCAATTTATAAAATCGATTGCTCATCTATGTCTGTACTAATCAGTATTTTCTCATTGCCAGGGTTTACACAGTCTGTAAAATGCCAAATAGGCAAACAGGAGATTTGCAACCCTATATTCTAGTAATCTGTTCATAGATTATTTCTATAACATGAAACTTTAACTACTACAAACCATCATAATCTATTGATCACACAATATTTCACCCATAAGAGAGCCAAACTCAGTTATTATGCTCCGTCTTAAAATCTGTTTTCATCAGTAATCTCAATTTACCATTTTAGACTTCAAATTTAGTTCCCAGGATGTCATTTATGTATCAGCTGTATTACTTGGAACTGTAAAATAAAATTGTTTAAGGGCTTATTTTAGGACTGAATCATATTTGAAAACCAAAATAACTAGAACTGCATCACCACAGCTAGAGCATCCATCTAAATAGAACAGCATAAACAAAATACTGACTCAAGTGCAATTTTGTGGCATGGAGGGAGGGCAAATGCATTGAGATGAGAGGGGAACAAAGCAGAAAAACAAGCAGCAATCCCACCGAAGCTAACTCAGTCCTCTGCACACTTTTGATGACCACTGATCTGCACAAGAAGAGGGATGCAGCCTTGTGCATAGCTGCCTTAAATATTTTGTCTGACTGAGTGGGCCACAGCCGTTTTCTTTATATTTTTTCTTAGCAACTTTAGTAAAAATGTAAAAAATGCCTAGGATCATCACAATGTAAACAGTTTTTTACCAAGGCTGGAACCAACTGGCCCACTTTGCAGCGAGGCGCTGCACCTCAGCTGGAGCATCCTGCCCCCGGACAAGCTGCAGACACAAGCCTGGTGGATGGGGGAGCAGCACCCTAGTTAAAGGGGTCTTTATGCACTTCTGTGATTTTATTAGCTGTGTGTAGTTGGGTCCTCCATAAGCTGTGGCCAGAATGACCCAGCTCAAACTGGCTCTTCTTGCAACTTTGCAAGGTATAACAAACTCCCCCTTTGGCTGCTGTACGTAGATTTTGCAAGTCAAGTGGTTTGTCAGTGCAGAGGGGTGCAGAGGTAGGACTGAGACCATTCCAGGAGATCCCATATCCCCCCAACACGTCCAGCCCACAGCCCAGGAAAGCTAAGGGCAGCCTTCAAGTCAGGAACAAAAAGTTCCTGTTGTCTGAAAAATACCTTTCCCTGGGAAGAGGCAAGAAACCAGGTCCTTTATTTGCTTT